ACTTGCGTGGGCCAGCCGTGTATTTGGTAAGAGCACCACATTACCTTCCCTTTGCTAGAGACTGAATGTGGATATCATACTACACGTAGATACACATGTGTGCATAGCTGTGTACACACCTGCACACATATTTCTTCAATGAGGCCTTTGCCAAACTGAGGGCTTTCTCAGTCAACAGTAGCCAAGTGCAACCCCTGCAGCAATTGGGGTGGTTATGGATTCCAAACTATGGCTTAGGATGACCAGAAGCAGAGGCTCTCAACCCTGGCTGCATCTCAGAACCACCTGGGAGCTGTTAATATATCTGAGCAACTGGGCCTACCCCAGGAATTGGTGATTTGGGTTAAGGCCCAGCCATCAGTATTATTTTAAAGCTCTCCTGTTGATTCTTTTGTGTAACCAAGATTGAGAACCACAGCCATTTGGATGCCAGACAGAACTAAATTCCTACATGTGACAGCATTGCTGGGTGAAGAGGACTAGAACTGAAGGCAAGAGCTGCTCTGACCTCGCTCTGCTACCAGCAGAGACATCCTCTGCCCCACTGTTGCAGCAGAACTGGTTGATATTCTTTGCTTCCTTTGTCTGTCTTCTTCCTCCTTGGGAGACATTTCTGTCATCCCTGTCACAAATCTCTGGGCCTAGGGATATTTCCTTTCCCATCCTAAGTATGTGTACTGTGAGGTAGAATATAGACTGCATATAAATGAGCCCCTCAAATAGTGAGGCCTTCCCTAAAGGGCCAGCTTTACAAAGGAGGTGACAGGCACTGACGCAGAGAGCAGAGATTTATTTTCAGCTGAGAACCAAAAAACATGTTTGGCAAACTGTAACCTTCCCCTAGCTGTGGCTCTGAAAGACAAGCTCACAGACAGCTTATTTTCCCATCCCAAGATAGTGTGACAGGGTCACCACTGCCCTGAAATGAGTTTTTAATTTTCAACAACAATCCAATTAGTCTTGACCAGGGCTTGTTCTTTTTCCTGCCTATTTGCTTTTGCCTTCAGGGTCACTAGCTGGCAACTAATATCCACTAGAACTGAAGCACCCAAATTACCACAAGGGCTGAGCTAATATCCTGCTGCAGATGCTATCACAGGCAGGGAGAAAATCAAGAGAGAAGTGCTGCCGTGGCCTGGCAGTGAGCAGCCAGTTACGTCCAAAGTTCCTTCTTTAAAATGAGCCTCAAGATTCCTGAAAAAGGGGCCTGGGAGTGGGAAAGCTCAGGGGTAAAGGGCATGCTTAGCATGCATGAGGCCCTGGGATCCATCCCCAGCACCAAAAAAAGAACTAAATGAAATATGACTTAGGGCAAAGTAGAGATCCCAAAAGTGTCCCTGTTATTTTTAGTCTCCCTCTAGGATATGGGGCACAAACCAGATCTCATCTTCCCAGTGGTAATAACCATGATAATACATAGTTGTCATTTATTAAGGCTTGTGCTGACTGCTTTAGATGTTTTTTCTCATTGATTCCCTAGAACCATTGTACATATGTTAAAAATACAGTCACAAATTGAGTAACTTGCCCTGGGTCACTTGGAGATGAAATGGTAGAGTCAAAATTCTACCAACTGTGTTGGGTTCCAAAGTCCATGTCCTTCCCCAGGTTGATTATAAGCTGCCTGCATATTTGGCACAGAGTTTTAGCTGTTAAGCACATGGCCTAAAACATGCAAGAAGGATCTATTGAGCAACTACCATGTAGCCCAGAATTGCAGCTGAGGGATGGAGGACAGCAGTCTGCCTTCTCAGCACTCTTGACTTCCCTGTGAAAGGTTAACTTCCAAAGAGCATTTTCCTACCGACAGAGTCTGCCGCTGGGAAGAATGCCCTTGCCTGGAACGTGACCTTCTAGGGTAGGGATAGCGGACTTTGTCTCACGTCTGTGGCCCATGAGCCATACTAGTAGTCAAAAAAGGAAATCAGGGCCCAGGATTTAGCTCAAGCGATTCGGTGGTCTGCCTCGCAAGCGCAAGGACCCGAGTTCAATCCCTGGTACCAAAAAAAAAGGAAATCAAAAGGCTATTTTGTGACACCTGAAAATTGTATGGAATTCAAATTCCAATGTCCAAAAATAAAGTTCCTTATGTATTATCGTGTCTGTGGCTGCTTTTTGCTGCAGCAGAAGAGCTGAGCACTTACAACAGAGTCTGGCCTGCAGACCCTGCAGTAGTTACCACCTGCCCCTTTCAGGAAAGCTTGCTGACCCCTGCCCGAACAAAAGCTAACTAAGCCAAACTGGAGAAATCATCTTATCTCAGCATGTAGTTCAAGCCACTTACCAACAAAGAGGATGGGAGGACTCACTTTTCATGGAGTTGGAAGTGAGGCAGCTCAGGCAAGACTCAGGCTGAGACCCTTCACTGGTGGCCAGCCTTGCTCTGGTGCCCTCGGAGGCTTCCTTCCTCTTTAACACATTCCTATCAGAGACTGTAAGAAGTAATATTTAAGAAAAAGTGTACTTAATTGTACTTGCCCAAGTTGTCTTAACACCAAACTGTGGTAAGCTGGAGATTTAGCAATTTAAGGTGAGATTCAGGGAGTTAAATGATAAGGCTTTGTAAAACCTCGTATTTGAACAGTACTTTCATATATGTTCTCAATCATTCTTTAACTTCAAGTGAATATCCAATAACAGTTCGTTTCTCCCTTTCTTTTGAGAATGAAGTTTATGAGGCTTTTTTCTCCTTGATTTCTACAATTCCACTTCTTATACTTTTTGACACTCCCTTAAGATGTCAGTCATAACATGGTGCAGCTGTGAAATTGCCTCGTCCAATTTTTTTTTTCCTAAGGAATAGAGTTCTTAATGTGGAAATCACGAAAGTTGAATGATCTGTTTGTGCAAAATTAAAACCAAAACCGAACAATGCAGCACAGTTCTGATTTGATGAACTGCTAAGCAGTGAAATGGAATCCACTGTCATATGTATAGCTTCTTCCCTCCTATGGAGGCTTATTACAGAATAAGGCTTTCAGAGTCTCACCCAGGCTGCTGGCCCAATACCGGGTATTAGAGAGGAGATGGGAAGGTGAAATACGAGACCACCTGAAGTGACATTTTCTGAAGTCCTCCTGAAATGAGTTTCTGAGCACTTGGTTCCAGTAGGTTGCAGGGGCAGGAGGCCTCGATGGATTTGGAAGAGGCAGGGTCAAAGAACTCCAACTTCACTTTGATATTTTTGGGATTAAAGTCTTCTTGGTAAAGTGTGCAGGTAACTTGCCTGCCCTTCTTTATTCATGGGAAAACTCAGTGGCGGTAGGAATACCCAGTACAGCAAAACACAGCAACAGGCGTCCACACACCTCCACATCTGTGTGCTCCTGTGGTCCCCACAGAGTGCCTACCTTAGGAGGGAGTAGGAAGGAACAAACTTGGAAATGCAGAGTCGAGTGGGTTGCCTAAAGTAATACAAATTATGAATGATGTGACAGTATCGATGCTGGAATTTCAGTTTCTGGGCTGTAAGTTTCAACTCCCACTCCCACCTGCACTGAAAGAATGATCTTTGGAGTTGGGCACACCTGGTTTGATAGCAGCTGTACCACTTAAATGGCTGCCTTGGACTAGTTTCAAAAGTCCTAATTCCTTTCATGTGTAGAAAAAAGGACAGCAACTGAAGACAAAGCTGGGAAGAGCTAGTGAAGCCCTATAGCACAGTTCCAGATGCTCAATGTTTTCCTTTTGTCCCCTTGGCACAGATTCTTTATGTATCCATAGTGTAAGTGTGTTCATACTCACATATACTGTACTTGTATAGTGTAATTTGCATCTTCACTGCCAGATTGAAGAAACAAGGATTATAGTGCTGCAGGTAGTTAGATCCCCAAGTGGTTAACAACAGAGCCAAGAGCTAGAACTAAACAGGCAGGCCTCCCAAGATCTGAGCCCAGGCTACCATTCTCTGTGGCCATTACCTTCCATGGTGGTTCCAAGGTTTAAATGACTGATCAACCAGAGGACATCTGCATTGAGCAGATGAGGATGTAGATCTCTGTAGCCTTAGTGGTGAAGATGTCCTTACCCTGTAATGTAAATCTTGCTACTGGTGAGGCCCACATATAAAAGTACCCTTCTCAGTAGCCCATTAGGATTTTTCAAATGCATAACATAGCCCTGGCTCAGAGTGCTTGATCATGTGACAAAGACTTGGGTATCCAAGCCTGAGCTTACTTTTTCCTTTGTCCCCCAAATTGAACAACGCTATGTGTAATATTCCAAGATGGCAGAACTGAGAGAATTGCCTCTTCACTTCTTCCCTCCCTTTATAAGCATCTGTTTCCTGGAAGTGTAACCACCACCACCACCACCACCCCCCAAAAAAAACTGCTGTAAGGCCTATTGCTGTCTCTTGGTAATTATCAGTGGAGAGGTAAAGGGAAAATTAAATATATGTGTACTGTTCACTGTGTCTGCCCGCTCTGTGACATGTACAGTATGAGCAGTGAGAATCTTCACCGAAGGCACCAGGACAGGGCCCTTAAATCACCCTGTGCACATGGCCGAAGAGCCTAGCTCTGTCTCTCAGCCTGTATTCCTGCTTCTCACAGGGTATGAAGTAGCATCCTCCTTTAACTCTTTTAGGTCACCCCCTTCCCCTGGCTCCTTTCTGAATTCCTTCCCTATGTCCTAACCAACCTACTTTGGCACACTCCCCAGTTTCTCTAGACTAGAGGTAAATTCAAGGGCAAGGACAATTAAAAATAGCTACTGACTCAATAGAATAAAAGGATCTACAATGTTGAAATGTAAAGCCTTCATACAAATAATTATTACTGCTAAATACACTACTCAATAGTTAAGGGGCTATCGTCTTCCTAAACATTAACATTACCAACTCAATAAATAGTTTCGGGGAATTTCATCCCTGGGACAGAGCGGTGACCGCTCATTGTGCACCCTGAAAGGCTCTGCTCACCTGCCAGCCTGGCCTGGTCAGGGAGGGTAGAGGCGGCAGCCATCCGGGCACTGACATCCTCTTCCCTCTGTCACTGCAGGTGTTAACAGAACTGAAATCCGACAACCAGAGGCTGAAAGATGAAAACGGTGCCCTCATCAGAGTCATCAGCAAACTGTCCAAATAGGTTCCACATTAGGAGCGGGGGACAGCATTTGCTGCCCCACTCTTCTAGCCATTGCCTTCCAGCCAAGAGAAGTGAATGTTTTGGCGGAAGGACACTTCCTCCTGACCCTCTTCAGTCACCTCCTCTGCACTGTACATTATCTCTGCGCTCTGAATGCCTGGCTCCTCCCATACCCCGTCCTGAGTTTTATGAGTTTTAATTGAAGTGTGACTGTGATCATGCAGGCCATCTGGAGAAGGCCTTGTGGAGCACCCCGAGCTCAGCCATGGACCCCAGCTTTTCTGCTCTGCTGCTTTGTCCGTATTGGATTCAGTTCAAACCATAAGGCTTCTGCCTTTTCACTGCCCCTGCGTCCTCTGATCCAGGTGAGTCTTGTGCTGGTGACTCCAGGATCCTGTCTGGGATGTGAAGAGAAATGACGGGACAGGGAATTAAGCATCCAACGCTCTGGAGCTGCGTTTCTTTGGAGTCCAAGTGACCGTGACTCTGCTTCACCTCTCAGGAACTGACTCGTTTTTATCTTTGCTTCCTTCATGCCTCACCCTTTCTCTGGGGCTCACGCGGTCCTGGCCTCACTCCTTTCCCTTCCTTTCTGTCCTTCTGTTCTCCCACCCCACCTCCTCACCTGATTGTGTAAGAGCTGGAAGAGAGCACCTGACCTCATCCTCAGCCATCATGGAAAATCTGGGGACTAGAAAAGCATCACTCTGGTGCCGTGGTGGCAGCACCATGAGCCCTGTCCCTGTAAGGTAGCCCATGGCATAAGTGCCAGCCCACCATTGGCATCTTCCACTTGTCTTCTCCCTGCAGTGATTTTCCGTATGAGAAAATCGGGGCTGGGAATACCCCATTCTGCCTTGCTGCCTTGCTTCCTCCCTCTCTCATCTGGTGCCTGCTCCTACTGAGAAGTGAAGTCATTGCAAGGAGGTCTGAGGGGCAGGGAGGGCAGCTTGTTGGGAGCCGGGCTGGAGGGTGGAAGCAGGGGGAGACACAGATGGTGAAAGAGTATTGAGGGTGCTTCCGGGGTTAGGACAAAGAAGACTGTCCGCTCGTTATGCTCCTGAGAATGGTGGTGAGCTCGAGTACCTCTGGGGGGTTAGGTTTAGGGGGGAGACATTTGCTTTCTTAGAAACTAACAGGAAGAAATGACAGCTTGAAAAGGTTTAAAGGGATGAGGTACTTCCAACCCATGATGAGAGTCATGGAATTTTATTTAGAGTGGCAAGGCTCAGCAGTCGCTCGACCCAGTTTTCCAGTTGTGTCGCAGCTTTGACCATTTTCAGGTGGCCTCTGATGGCTGTGCATTGATTACTCAGAGGTGAGGCAGCTTAACGATCAGAGTTTCTCCTGAGGGGAGCTAAACTTGACCGGTGAGTTCTCCACATAGGCCACATCTACCCTTTGTAGCTTTAACGTGACAGCCCTCCCAGTACTTGGGGTTGGTGCTCTCCCTTCATCTCACTTGGAGCTCACGTCTTCTGCAGTTCACACGGTGAGCTTTCCATGGGATCACACAGTCACATACTGGCCGCCCTGCTCTAAACACAAACAGCCTTTAAATACCATGCCTGGCCTTGACAGAGGTCTTCGTGACAGTGCACAATTAAACCACTAGTTTTCGTGATGACCCAATATTAATGTGAAATTTTTTTGGTAGGACTGGTATCCCATGGTTCATTTTGAAGGTGCGGGTCATGTAAAGCCCTGTCATTTTAGGGTAAGTAGTGACAGTGAAGAGAATGGTTCATTCCCATAACGTATCCAACCTCTGTTAGTTTATTTCCTGGAAACAGCAGTGTTGTTCACCATAACTCTCTGAACCATCCAGTGCTTTTTTTTTTTTTTTTTTTTTTTTTGGGGTGGAAGGGGCGTTTTT